CTTGGCATGAACTGTCGTCCAATTTTTTAAAGTTTTGGGGATTTCACATTAAAGTTCATATTTCCATCCTCTCTTGAAGATAAAGAGATCTGACAACACAGCCTCCATTTTCCCATGCAATATTTGGCCAGAGATGGTGGATGTCCTTAGATGGGATTATGTACCCTCCATTTGACCTCGGTCCCCACCACTCCCTAGTAATTATGCTTAACTCATTTTTCTCATTTATATTACCTGTCTGGTGCTAAGATGCTTTTTGGATATATGACATATTAGGCCATCTCCCCAACTCAATTGACAAGTGTGTGTATCTCTGTGTGTGTTCCGTCCTTAAGTAGTACAGATAGAGCCCAAATTAAAGAGGGTTTTTATTTGGCCATGACACAATCATCAATGGTATGTGTCCTTAATTGGGCACTTGATTAATGGAAGTTTTACGGATCTCTGGGATGAAAGACCCTTCCCAGGACCAGGTACGCAGAAGATGGCTGCAGTTGGAAAACTTCCCTGGTCAAAGGAGCCATTTTCTCTACTGAAGAGCTGACATAAATAGGAAGACTGTCCATCAGCCAACTATTTAAGGTCAAACTTTGACATAGCCTTAAGGAAATGAAAACTAAAGCCACCTGCACCCTTCTCTGACGGCAACAGAACAGAGACAGCTAAAAGCAAGGAAGCACACACATGAATATGTGCCCAGATATGTCTTCCCACAGATATGTATGAATATGGATCTAGAGGATGTATGTTCTATGTCAACATATACATGGCTTTGGGAATGCTAGAAAAATCCCTGAAGGGAGAATGGGAGTAAGTGGCAGCTTGTAAGAGACAGAAAGGAAATGAATCTAAGAACTCTCTCTCTCTTTTAAGATTTATTTATTTGGGGGAGAGAGAAGGAGAATGTACATGCTCACGCTGGTGGAGGGGAGGGACAGAGGGAGAGGATCTCAAGCAGACTCCCCATGGAACACCCCATTTCAACCCCATGGAGCTGGATCTGAGGACCCCCAAGATCACAACCAGATCTGAAGCCAAGAGTCAGATGCTCGACAGACTGAGCTACCCAGGCGCCTCCTAGGAACTCTCTTATGAGTGCTAATGTGAAATCACAAAAAGATCATTTGTGGGTTTTGGAGTCAGATGGCCTTAGGCTTAAGTTCCAGCTTCACCACATATTAACTGTATGACTTCAAGCATTTTAGTAAACCTCTCTGAGCTCTATTATTTCATTCTCTGAAATGGGTGTACATATTCCTACCCTATAGGGTTTTCTAGGACCTGACCCATGGTAGATGCCAATAGATACTGTTTCTTCTCACCAAGTTGAACCTACTGATGGGTCTTGCCTTGTTTTGCCTCCTGGTGCCCAGTACTCTCCGGTACTCTGAAGTGGGAGCAGATCTAAAGTTACCCTTTCATTTTCCATAAGTGGGTCTTGTAGACAGCTTAGAGAAAGAAGGGACCTGGTACTAACTTGGGACTGTTTCATATTCAGAGAGTTTTCTTTTTAATTTTTTTTTCTTAGAGAGTTTTCTAACCAACTTTTTTGGGCAGTGGTTTTCCTGGTGTGTACTATATTCTGCAAGTGATGGGCCCAAGGAAACCAAATGCAGTATGCATGATTTTGGTGCAATGGCTCAAGACCTAGGAGCCTTGAGACAGTTGGCTGGTTCCAGACTTCCAGTACTTTCACGCCCCTTCTGTCCATCCCATGTTCTCTACTCCCAGGTGAGAAGCCCTTTGCATGGAATCTCTACTTCGGAGTTGAGCTGTGGCCATGCCCATCACCTGTGCTCTCCTGGTCTGCCAGGCCTCCTTCTCCCCAGGGGGATCCCACTTTGCCCTCCTGATTCCAGGAGGATCCCTCATGGGTGGTGTGCACCAGGTCTGTGCTCTTTGGTTGGGGCTGGACAGGTGATCAGAAGCTGGGTGGATTCTGTAGCTCTGACCCCACTCTTGCTATCCCTGGTTCCTGTTTTTCCCATCCCATTCCACCGAGCCTCTGTTTGCATTATTTATCAGACCTTAGGGATTGGATGAAACATCGTTGGCCACAGGACAAGCTGGGAACATGGTCAGCCTTTGAATAGGACTCTCCCCACAGTCTCTCTGTTATTTCTTACTCTTCTTCTCTTCATAGTCATCTTTCCTGTCTATCTTCAGACTCTGGCATTCCTTACTCCCCTGCGAAGCATGGCATCTTCTTCCCTTGTCCCTCCCTTACGTTCAGTGCCTCCTCCAAGGTTACATGTCCTCCCACCCGAACAACCGGGATTTCAACAGCTCTCAGTTAAATGTTAGCAAGAAAGTAAGCTGACCTAGCCTGTGTCTGGGAGTCACATATTTGCCTTTCAGTCATCAATGTGTGGCTTAGTAGGTCTGTGTCTTTAGAAATGAGATGTAATCTTTCTGAGCTGAATGTGCACATTTTTAAAGTGCATACGATAACATCTATTTTGTTGGGCTCACTGTCATTTTCTTTATAAATAATAAAGAAGTTATTTTTTATTTCTTTATCCTTTTTTGTCTCCTTGAACTGCACATCCTAGAAGCCAAGACGGAGTATGTATGAAAGATTAAAGATCTGTCTTGTGTGTGAAGAGCCCAAGGAGAAAAAACATAGGACTTAATTCTGGCTTCAATTTTTGGATGGGTGACTTTTGGCAAGTTACTGAAACTTTCTAATTTGTTATGGTATCATCTTTAAAATGACAATAAAAATAATATCTCCCTCATCCCTAGGATTGTGGAGACAATTACATACGAGGGAATGTGTGATGGTGCTTCTGCACAGTAAAAATCTATGCAAATATCAGAGTCAGCTGCTACTGCTGGGGTACTCCAACTTGTGGCTGGAGAGCCCTTCAAAGCCTCTCTGACCTGCTCTCTGACCTGCTTTGTTGCCTTCTTTCTCTTCTGCTATGTGGTTGCGAATTTGTGGGCAAAGGGAAGTGGAGGCATGTACATGATTCTCCATAGCAGCACTATTCCTAACAGCAAAAACGTGGAAATCTTCCAAATGTTCATCAAGCAATGAATGGTTAAACAAATCATGACATATTTTTTGCAATGGAATATTATTCACCCATAAAAAGGAATGGAATGGACCTTGAAAGCATTATGCTAAGTAGAAGAAGTCAGGCCCAAAGGCCACATAGTGTTTGATTCTATTTCCATGAAACGTTCAGGATAGGCAAATCCATGGGAGACACCAAGTAAACCAGTGGGTGCCTAGAGCTGGTAGAGGTGGGGATGGGGGATGGGAGGCAGAATGACTGCTAATGGGGAGGCGTTTCTTTCTGGGAGGATAAAATGTTTTAAAATTGATTCTGTTGCTGGCCACACAACTGTGTGAATACGCTAGAAATTGTTGAATTATATAATTAAAATGGGTGAATTGTACGGTATGCAAATTATGTCTTAAGGAGGCTGTTATATATATATTTTTAAAATGGGGTGCCTGGGTGGCTCAGTCGGCTAAACATCTACCTTCAGCTCAGGTCATGATCCCAGGGTTCTGGGATCGAGCCCCGCATCAGGCTCCCGGCTCAGCGGGAGCCTGCTTCTCCCTCTCCCTCTGCCTGCCATTCTGCCTACTTGTGGACTCACTTGAACTCTCTCTCTCAAATAAATAAAACCTAAAAAAAAAAAAAATGGAGATAAAACCTTGCTTTTCCTCTTTTTTCCCCCCCATAGTTGGAGCCCTGCAGGGGGCCCACTGACTTGCGTCCACTTCCTGCTCATCACTGCTGGTTTCCCCCTGCCTGCTTTGGACGGGTCCAAATGCTCTGTAACAAGCTGCCTTGACTGGCCCCTTCCTTTGGTTTGACTGCACTGAAGACTAATATCAAACTCCTGCCTTCTGTGCTGTGAGAGTTTCAAAGGACAGGGGACTCAACCTGGTGCTCCTTCCCAAGCCCATCTCCTGCCCCCACCAGTGACTGCCTCAGTGTCTGATAAGGTAGATACAAAATCCATCTCTATTGCATAAAGTGTTGATGGAGAAGATTGGGGTGGAGGTAAGGGGAAGTGACTGCTAATGGGAATGGGTTTCTTTCTGAGGTTCCTTGAAATGTCTTAAAATTGATTCTGCTGGGGCCTATGTGTTATTTGCATAACAAAGGGATACTGAAGTTCCTTTACAGAAGGGTTTCTTTACTTTCCTTAGGGCACGCAGAACCTTACAGGGACCTGGCAGAGTTCTCTCACTGATTCCTTAGCAGCCGCTTAGCCGAGAAGGGGCTGAGGGACATGTTCAAAGTCAGAGGGCTACAAGGCTGCCTAGCTGCCAACACCCACCCTCCTCGTGACGCCTCTGTGACCCCCAGAGCACAGACAGCATGTGAAGGGAAAGTGGTGGGAAAGGATGAAGACTACAGAAGCTCTAAGTCACTGTCAAGGAAATGTATGCAAAGCATCTCCAACACGTGACAGCAAGTCCCTAGAGACTCCATGGCCTCTTTGGGGACACAGCCAACAAGCTGCTCCTCTGGTGCCAAATACACTTACCACCTCCCCCACCCCCACGGTGACCCAGCCCTGCTCAGCCCCACTCAGGCTTGGTTTCTTAGCAGCAGTGAGAACTCTCTTGGCCTTGGCAACATGGAAACATCCAGGCTGGGAGCTGAGCGCCCCACGTGATTGCTCAGGATACTCTGCGGGCAGGGCTCCCCACACCCTGCCCCCCCCCCGCCCCTCCCCCGTGCCCCCTCCCCTGCCGCCCCTACCCCTTCTGCCGGGTCAGGCTCCTCCACCAAGAATGAGGCTCTGAGCTCCCAGCTTCACTCCCTACTTAGAAAATCCCCACCAGGCAAAGCCAAGAAGACACCACTTACAGCATCATTAAATTATAAAGAGCCCTGAAACTCACTCCAAAAGCCCGGGTCTGTTTGCCCTTGCGGTCCGAAGGAAGCAGGCGATTGGTTGGCCCTGTTCGGCCTCGCAAGCCTTATCTCAGGCTGGTTATTATTTGATTAAAGAGGCTTCCTTCTCCTCTGGTGTTTCAAAACTGTGCTGGGAGGGTTTGCTGCAGCCTGGGGACTTTTTCTGAGGTTACTCCCGAGCACTCAAAGTCCTTCGGCCTCCAGCAGTACAAACAGACAGCCAGACGCCGCCACACACGGGGGCTGTCTTCCGAAAAGTTTCCATCAGCTTTGCACATCAGCTGGTTGAACATAATTCTTCAAACACTACAGAGTCAAGGATACAGGTATTAAAGGTAATTTTTTTGGGGGGGCGCCTAATTTCTTAGGATGCCATGACACTGGAAATGGGGATATGGTTGGAGCTCTGGGGCTCAGAGTGGAAAGCAGGAGAGGCGGAGAAAGTGGAAAAAGGAAGTGCAAGAAAAAAAAACTCAGAATCTTGGAATTCTACAGAAAGGCAAGGCCAAGGGGTGAGTTATTTGCAGCTGGAGAGAGGTGTGAGCACGATCAGCAGGTCTCATTGGCATCTGAGCGCTTTTGCTCCCATGAAGCCCTTCCTGAGGTCTGTCCTCTTGGCATGTCTGTCATCCTCCCCACTGGCTCAGAACCCCAAAGTCCTTACAGGGTTTTGGACGCTGTGTGAGCAGTCCAGTTGCTTTAGCTTGAAACTTATCCGATCTGATTTGCAAATGGGATGTGGCCCTCAGAGGGTCTACTTGGCGCGCCAATCCTCTTGATGCTGACCACAGAGAGGGGCAGAGTGGGGCCGAGCCCCGCATTTATGAGAATTTCTTTCCCACCTTGCAAAGATCTCTGTGTGCTGTGCATGGTCTGTTCTCATCCGGGCCATGCCCCCACCTCAGCTGGGCGGGTAGGGAACAAGTCCGAGGACTTCCCCTGCTACCCATGCAGGCTGGGCTCCGTGGGGTGCCGGCAGGGGTTTAGAGACCTGGAACGAGGATGAGGACAGGAGTATCCTCTCTCATGGTGAGGTTTGGTTGGAGCTGGCCAAGGAGGGGAGGAGAGGATACAAAACAAGAAAAACATTTTATTTTGCCATTAAATAGAAAAAAAGGCTTTTGGGGTAAATTGGTATTAAAACTGGTTTTTCCCTCCACATGTTAGATGACTGCGTCTCCTCTCTCTAGTCATGGCAGTTCTTTTAACCGCCAGATGCTTCCATTCGGGATGTCTTAATTCTGAACTGGCTGTGTCCAGGTTGTTTGTGCTTTGCTGGCGTGGGATGGGATGGGATGTTGGCATCACTGCCCCCAAAGCTTCTCCATGGGGTGGAGAGCCCTTCTTCCTGCTGAGGACTCTGCCACCCCCCAGGAATTTTCTCTGCCCAGGCCCCCCCACTGGATTTCCTGACACTCTTCAGAGTAATGGTCAGAGGAGTTCATCAAAGTAAATCCTGATTCCCCCTCAAAATTTTAAGGGAAATCACAAGAGGGAGGACAAGCTCAGAGCAGGGAGGCTGTACCTCTTGGACCTGATTTCTTTCCTGCTCCTTTGGGAACACCTCCACCCTTTACCATCGTCTGGATGGTGTGGATCTTCCTCTCTCCCCATTCTCCATCCCTGTCCCACCACATGGGGACTCGTTCTTCGCACCCACCGTGGTGTCCTTATTTCATGCTCTCCTTTCCGCTTGGCACACTCTCCCCCCTCCCCTGGCCCCTGCTCTGGCCAGGTCAACACATGAGTTGGGTCTTTGAATAAAGGCTCTTCCTCTGGTACTAGGTTAGGGTTCCCTGCACTTTGCCTCATTGGACCCCTAATCGCATTATCTTATGATTGCTTGTGTCTTCATCCATGGCCTCCCCTACACCGGCAGCTCTGTGAAGCCAGGGGTTTTACACTTGTTGACTCAGTTCTCATAACATGCCTGTGAGGTGAGTGTCAACCCATTTAACAGACGGGAGAGCTGGATTAAGAAACAAGTTCACCGGGTAAATGGTGGGCTTCAGAACCCGTGCTTCCACTCCTGTGCCGCGTGCCAGTCTGGTTCTGAGTGAGTCCATGAGAAACAAATGACTAGTGTCAGGGTAATGAGCAGAGCACGAGGCAATGCTTCCATCTGCTCCGCTGAACCGTTCCCTCCACTGAGAAGACAGCACAGGAGCCACAGTGCCGGTTGTGGGCAAGGCTTTGAGGACGTGGGAGTGAGTGGCCACAGACCCTGACCAGAATGGGTCTTCGTTTCGAGCTCTGTCCTCTGTGTCAGGATCGGCTTTCCCCGTCAGTCTCTTGCCTACCTTTGTAGCCAGGTTTAATCCCTTCTGGGCTCCATGCTGGAGACTGAGAGGGGCTCCAGAGCAGGAATTTGGCCAGCCTTGAAGTGGGTCCTTCAGGAAACCATCATGGCCGGACGCTCGGAGTCCATCAGATGTTGTGCTGAGGGCTCTCCTGCCAGATCTCATTCGTGAGGGAGGGGTCAGGATCATCCTGTGTCTTAGAGGAACAGACTAAGGCTGGGAGATCCAGCTTGCCCAAGCTGGTAAGTGCGAGAGCTGAAACTCAATTCCCGATGTATCTGACCTCAAAGCCGGTGCCCTTCCCACACACCAGGGGCTTTCACAAGCACTTAGCTTTGAGCTCACTGGATCCCCTCCGAAATTCCCGTCAGGCAGATAGTCCTGCTCCACTGTCTACCTTCCCAATTGCTGAGTGCGGATCCCCTCACTGTGGTGTGGTCCTCAGCGTCGTCTTCCCTGCCCGGACCACGGTCGAACATGGGGCTTGACAAGACCAGGGACTGTTTGGGGGCATCTGGTCCAAGAACATCACAGCCAAAAAAGCCTCAACCAAGGTCCCCAGCCTAGGGGGATCTACAAAGTCTGAAAACCTTTGTTAGAAGAGTAGTAAAACATTGGAGGGTCATTCACTGCTGAATTTCGCTTTTTCCACTTGTTATTTATGTTGTCTAAGTTCTAGTCTTCCTCATCTGGAAAATGGGTATAACGTATCTCTCTTGGAGTTACTTGGAGAATAGATATTCTGTGTTCACTGAATGTGGGTGTGTGCCTGCCATGTGTGAGGCACTGGGATACAGTAGAGAATCAGGCAGAAGCAGCTCCCTTCCCTTGTGGAAGTTACAGTTGGATTGGGGGCAACAGGCATTAAAAAAAAAATTACACAAATAATTAGTTCCCGTTGTGGTGAGAAAAAGAACAAAGGACCTCATTTAGATGGGGGTGGCGAGCTAGTCAAGAAAGACTTCTCTGATGGACCAGTAGCATATGAGCACCTATCATGCCTCCAGAATGTAGTAGGTGCTCAGTATGTGTGACCCTGGCCAACTTCCGGCAAGTCTCTGGGACTCAGAGGCTATGAGTCTAAAGTGTGTGTGATGGGGGGTGGACTGAATAATTCCTCAGGCTGAGTTGCCCCTATCCAGTATTTAAAATTCCCTTGATCCATAGCAAGATAGAGACAGATTAAAAGAGACTCTCCTGACTCCCTGTCCAGTGCTCTTCTACCCAGCCATCACCATGGATGGAGAGAGTCTGAGTCTAAATCAAGAAGGCCAGGAGGAAGACTTGGCTGATTCTGTCTCCTGGAAGTCTCTTTCTCTAGCACCTCCTTCCACTCCCCAGCTACAACTCAACGTCCTTGCTCCCTGGGGGGGTCACTCCTTCTAGATGGAAATCCCTCAGCCCCTTCCCAGGCACAGAAAACAGGTTCTCTGCCTTTGTGTCTTTGCCCTCCAGGTTCCTGCATGTCCAGCTTGGATGATTAATCCTCCTGCGGCCATCCTCTCTGATGGTGAGATCGCAAGCACAGGCAGGCTGGGAGGGGGAGCTATGAGTTGAGGATTTGGGGAGGGGCCCATCATCTTCCTTGGCTGCCCATGAGTGCTCCCAAGGCAGCCCCCTTCCCCCACCCACACAGCCTACCCCCAGGAGCACCATGTTCCTTTTGCATTGCACATAGTGTCTTTTGTAAGCTCTCCGGCCAGGGTTTTAGTGACAGCCCTTGTGAGGAGCTGGTTAGCATTTTTTCCAGACAAAGCCAGAAACTGGGAGGTGATGGAAAGTCTAAGCTTGCCAAGCATGATGAGAGGAAATGATCAGTTTCAGGCTCCTGAAAGAATGGTCTTTAATTCTCTCCCACCTTCCCCATGGGGGACCCTGTCCCCTTGTCCTCCAGGGGCATATCAACTCTCTATCTCCTCTTCCTTACCGGGGGCCACACTCTTGCCTTCAGCTGTCTGTTAGCCAATCCCTACCTACTGTTTGCTGGTCATAATGCTTAGTAGGACCTCCCAGGGTCATCAGTGTTTTAGCCAGTGATGCCTAAGGGAGCAATAATGGCGGGAAGACAGGCTATAGGATTGATCCTTCAAAGCATACCACTGCCTTTATATGAACTCAGGATTTGAAAACCTTTCTTTGGTGGTGGTGGTGGTGGTGGGGTTGGTCAAAGAAGATTAGATGGATATTGAGAAAGGAACAAAAATGCTGTACAATAAATGATACATTACCCCAAGAGCATTTCCAAAGAGACTTTGAGTAGCAAGTTGTACCCTGAGGCAAATCCTCCCCAGTGGGTCATAAAAGGAAAGTGACAGGATATTTGCAATGGAAAGCACACCCTCCCCATTCAGTTCCCAGAGCTTGCAGCCCTGCTGATCTTACCAAGGTGAAGCTGGGTTCTCTGGCCATGAGCAGCATTTTAGGTGTATAATGGGGCTCCAAGCTGCCATGCTGAGTCAGTGGTAATGAAAATCCTCCATGGCTCCTGAGCCCTCTCCCCTCCCCATGCTCCCCATGCTCCCCTCCCCAGCTCCCCATGCTCTTCTTGCCTCAAGACACTTGCTTCCTGAGCTTTGCATTTGACCTCCAACCTGCCCTATGGGTCTGGCAGGAAGTTTAGCTGCGGCTGGCTCTGTGCATTGAGCTTCAACCTCTTGCCAGAAATCAAATCGGCTAAAAAACAAACAAACAAACAAACAAACAAAAAGCAACTATCCAAAATGAGTTTTCAAAGAAAGCAACATCATTTCCCCGTGACTTCTTGACTTCTTCTGCGGAGAGGAGTGGTTGCTGTGGAACTTAACCAGACGGCTGCTTGGTAACAGCATAGATGAGGTTTGCTTTTTGTCAATTCCAAATTATAAGTGACTGTGAGGAACAGGGACTTGGGAAAATGGAAAGCCTTGGGACTGAAAGCTCTTCTTCTGACTTGGCAATGGGAAAACCAGGGGGATCAAGCAGCAGGTGGTGGGCAGGAGATTGGCTGCTCCACACCCAGCCCCGGTTTGGCCCAGACAGTTCAGGGACACAAGAGA